GGAGGGTCGGGTCGGGGTGAGGTGGGGCGACTGGAGCCTGGTCCCCGTGCTGTCCCTCCACGGCTGCTTTCCCTGACTCGGCGGCAGACACCCTCCTGAATGTGTTCTTGGCCATCGCCGTGGACAACCTGGCCAACGCCCAGGAGCTCACCAAGGTCTGTGGGGACGTGTGTCTGGCAGAGGCACCACCTGTGGGCGGCAGAGCGGGAGGGACCTAGGGACCTGGTCACCAGGCGGGGAGAGCCAGCCTCCACCAGCCAGTTCCGCAGCAGAGCGCAGAGAGGCCCGCGGCCAGGAGGCTGCAGGAAGCAGATGGCCAGCGCCACCCGGGACCCGGTGAAGGGACCAGGCAGGGCTCCCAAGGAAGGGGGCAGTGCCAGGCCCCGGGCACCATCACTGCCCAGAACAGTCAGGAGCTGGACCTCAGGGAAAGGGGCTCCCGTAGCTCCCATAGCCTTAGGGGACCCAGAGCCGTGGCCAGCACAGATGGTGGCCAGTAAGCAGCTCCCGCCTCTCTCCCCCACTGGCCTCCTGCTGGACCTGCTAGTGGCCACTTGCAAGCCACCGTGGAGGCTGAGTGTAGGGTAAACAGGTCAGCTAGCAAGTAGCCTGCACAGGACCCTGGAGCTCCACTGGGTCCCCCATGTGTGGGAGCTGGCAGGGGACACTCTCTGGACTTGTGAGGATAGCAGTGATGCTCGTGGAACTAGCTACCGTAGCCTCCCTCGAGTGGAGGAGGAAACTGAGGCTCAGGCAGGACCACTGGCCCCAGGGCAGGATCTCAGCAGCCACAGCCGAGAATCACCCGACCCACATCAAGCGCTCTGCTAAGCTCCGGGCACACAGTGAGCCTTCAGGGAAGGCAGCCTCCCCTGGCTGGCGCCCAGAGGCTGGGACGTGAGCCTCCCCAGCACGTGACGAAAATCAAAATACCAACAACCACGGAAAACGTTAAGGCCCTTCTGTGCCGGGGGTGAGGTCCTGCTCCGAGTTGCCCACGGGAGAGGACACAGGGCACACACACACCTGTCATCCCAGGTACTTGGGAGGCTGAGGCAGGAGGATCCTAAGTTTGAGGCCAGCCTCAGGAACTTAGCAAGGCCCTCTCAAAATAAAAAGGGGGTGTAGCTCAGGAGGAGAGCAGCGCCCGGGTTCAACGCACAGCACACCCCGAGCAGGGAGGGTTGTGTCTACTTCACGGATGAAGAAACTGAGTCCCCGAGAGGCTACGTGACTTTGCCACACACTAGGACCCGAAAGAGCAGAGACATGGCCCTTCCGACATCACAGAAGAGGAAATAGGGCCAGAGAGAAACGGGGGGTCGGGGGAAGAACCTCACACCAGTGCTGACTCATGGTTAAGTTACCCAGATAAAAAATCGGTGGCACATGCCCCTGAGGGCAACCTTGGACTCCTTGAAAGTCCAGTGAACCTCAGGTGGACCCGGAAGGCCCCACTGCTTTCAGTAACACAGTTCATGTCCCTGAGCAGGGCTTCCAAAAACAGTGGTACAGGTTGCACACTGCACAAGGAAACCAGAGCACAGGCGAGGCTGGAGTCCGCCCTGCCTCTCCATGGGTGGGTGCATCAGCTCAGGAGAAGGAACCACCGAGGAGGACAGGTCTGTTGGGAATGTAAGAGCTGGCCACAGGTCCAAACTAGGCCTGAGGGGGAACAAAGCTCAGTGGCACGTGCAGGGTCTTCCTGCCGGGAGCCTGCCTCCGCCCAGGGCCGTCCCCAGGGCGTGAGGTGTTCAGGACACGGAACCAAACCAAACTGAGCAGACCCTGCCAACCCTCCATCTGTCAGCCCGGCGGGAGGGAGGGACGGTTCCAGGCCCCACCTCTGACGGGGGGGAGGAACGGAAGTCCCCACTGTCCCCGGCTCCCGGCCAGGAGCCCGCCACCTGGAGCCTGTCCAGCCCTGAGCTCATCCCAGAGCCCCTGCTCAGGGGCCAGCATCCAGGAGAGGGGACGGGAGGCAGTGAGGCAGGGAGGCCTGAGCCCCCACGGTCCCCCTTCCCTTCCGATTCTCCATCAGGGATTCCTGGGCACCCGTGAGCGCGGTGCCCCGGGGCCTCAGCGTGTCTCAGTCCCCGCAGAAACCTGGGGAGGCAAGTTCTCTGAGCCCCACTTCATCACTCATTCAGTGAGCACATATTGAGCACCTACTGTGAGCAAAGCCCTGGTCTAGAGCCAGGAACACAGCAGCAGATACAACAGGCAAGAAACCCAGCCCTTTTGGAGCAGGGATTCGAGCTGGGGAGACCCACGAGAAACAGAGATGCGCGGCTTGTCCGATGGTGCGAAGCGCTAAGGGGAAAAGTGAAGTAGGAAAGTGAGCGAGAGTTGGGGTTTTAGATAAGGAATGTGAGGCCCAGAGAGGCTTAGAGATTCCCCCAAGGCACACAGCAATTAGTAGCAAAGCTGGGATTTGAACCCAGGCCACGGGGATCTGGAACCTGTGCTTTGGCCACTGTGTTTTGGCTGCTTGGACTTGAACTCACTCACCTGGGAGCTTGTTGGGGCACAAGTTCCGAGGCCGAGACCTGGTTCTGTGGAAACTTCCAGGGCCTAGGGATCTAGTATTTTGGAGCAGTCAGGTGCCCAGTTCCAAGGAAAGCTGGGCACGGAGCCAGGAGGGGGGCCTGACCCCCGATTCCAAGGTGCGTGTTCCTTGCCTCAGGTTCAGGGTGAAGGAGGCCGTCTGAGCCGCCTGCCGTCCTCGACAGGGTTTGTTTGTGGACGTTGGTTCTTCTCTGTCTTTGTTCGAGGGGGCCTGGGGGGCACCGAGAACTGAACCCAGGGGCCCCCGACCACTGAGCCACCTCCCCAGCCCTACTTCGTATTTTATTTAGAGACAGAGTCTCACTGAGTTGCTCAGCGCCTCACTTTTTGCTGAGGCTGGCTCGGAACTCGCGATCCTCCTGCCTCAGCCTCCGGCGGCGGGGACCAGGGACGAGGGACGTGCACCTCACAGCTGAGCCCCCTGTGACGGCCGAAGGGTCGAAAGTCCCAAAGCGCCCCTTCCTGTGTGTACTCCAGCACGCCTGCGTCCTGCTCCTCTCTGACCTGGCCATCAGGCAGCGGACTGTGGCCGCGACCCCGGCTCAGGGCAGTGGGGGCCCAAGCCCGCTTCTGGGGCTATTGGTGGTGCCCAGCGGAGCCTGGAGAAGCACTTTCCTGCACCGGGCACCGCTCCGTGTTCTGGGGACGTGGCCCGTGGCCCAGAGTCAACGCGGCTTGGGGACAGGGGCCTGTGAGGCAGGAAGGAGAGCGAGTCCTCCCGCGGGCTGCCCCTGGCTGGGTCGGAACAGGCTTGGTGGCCCGGGGACACTGGGCGTGAAGCGGCCGACCCCCAGGCCAAGCCCCAGCCTGCTCTTCAGTGCTCAGACACCACCCAGGGTGGGCGTGTGAGCGAGACCTCCTGTTCCCTCCAGGACGAACAAGAGGAGGAGGAAGCCGCCAACCAGAAGCTCGCGCTGCAGAAGGCCAAGGAGGTGGCGGAAGTGAGCCCCCTGTCGGCGGCCAACATGTCCATAGCTGTGTAAGTTGGGGGTGGGCCGTCCCTAAGCACTGGGCGGACGTGGCCCGCTCCCACCCGCTCCTCTCACATGGGCTCTGCTGGTATCTCATGAGCACCGACCTCGGCCCAGAACTGCTGGGACTCGGGGGACGGCAGCGGCAAGGCTGGAAAGCCCCACTTGGGTAGCTCTCAAGTCAGTGGGCCATGACAAGATCACAGAACTAGAGAAAAAAAGATGGAGAGGGGAGGGCGGAAGTGCAGAGGGTGGTGCTGCTGGGGGCCTGGCGTGTGCGGGGGAGGATGCTCTCTGCCACTGAGTAGCACCTCCAGCCCAGAGCTGTGCTTTCAAACTCCAGGCCTCCCCTGGAAGGTGGCAAGACCTGAGGGAGGTGAGGAAGGAGCCGGGAGGAGGTGTGGGGGAAATGCATCCCAAGCAGAGGGACTGGTATATGCAAAGGCCCTGAGGCAGACTCCTGGTGTGTTCAGGGGATATGAAGGAGGCTGGTGTGCCTGGAACCCAGTGAGCAGAAAGGGGACTGTGGAGGGAGAGACGAGGGCAAGGAGGTGACCAGCAGGTCATGCAGGGCCTTGGGGGCCACGGGGAGGACTTGGGTTTTGCATCATTGGCCAAGGAGCAGAGGAGGGTCAGGACCTGACTCAGGTGCTCACAGGTGCCCTCTGGCCACTGTGGAGGTGAGGGAGGGAGGTGGCCCAGCAGGCCAGGTTGAGGGCGGCACCAGCCTGTCCTTGCAAAGGAGATGGGGACTGGCCCAAGATGGGGCCGAGGAGGTGTGGATGTAGCAGGATCCTGGACAGATTCTGAAGGCCCATGGAGCAGACAGCTCGCTGGGGTCGGGAACAGGGCAGTGAGGAACCAGAGACCTTGGGTAAAGAGAGCGGAGACACAGTGCTCTGAGCTGTGCCTTTGCGGGTGGGGGGACTCAGGGGGTCTCATGCTGCAGAGCGCTGCATTCTGGGACTACGGGGAGGGGGCAGCTTTTCCAAACTAAGAGGTGGTGGCTGCAGGAGGGGAGCCCAGGGAGGCGCATGCGCGGTAGGTGAGGTTAGGAACAGCCTGTGCACAGGGACGGTCCCTATAACACCACCCATGTCCCGCAGCCCTGGGGAGGCTCCGAGGGCCCTGAATGGGACCCCAGCCCCCGCACTGCCCACCCTGGCTGCCCTGGTTCCTTTCTGTGACCCCAGACTCCCATTCAGGCCACGCGGGCACTGGGGGCTGTGGAACGTGCACAGGCTCATGTCCACCGCCCTGGCCTCCGTGGCCATCTCCGAGGCCATGACGATGCTCAAAGCCACCCCAGAGGTTCCTGCGCTGCCGTTGGCGGCAGAGTAGAGAAGACAGTAGGGCCCTCGGCCAGGCTGACAGGCCCGCCTCGGGCCCTACTGGAGGTGCCTGGGAGGTCACCTGGGAGGTCACCCGGGACACCCGCTGGGCCGCCCCGTCGGACCCGGGTGGGCGTGGCCGCGCCAGGGGAGCCACCGCGGGGCGCGGGGCGCGGGTCCTGGGGCGCCGACCGGCCTTGCCTTGCAGGAAGGAGCAGCAGAGGAACCAGAAGGCGGCGCGCTCGGTGTGGGAGCAGCGCACGAGCGAGATGCGCAAGCAGAACCTGCTGGCCAGCCGCGAGGCGCTCTACCCCGGCCTGGACCCCGATGAGCGCTGGAAGGCG